CGGTTTGTGGTGAGGAACTTATGAGGACTTGGGCTAGGGTCTTTACATTCGGGCGAACAAGTACGTAGGCGGAGACCAGGGGAGACTGGGGATGGTGTGTGATCGTTCCAATGGGAGAGGGTAGCGGACAAATTCGTGGCTGCTCGTAGTTTGGAAGTATGGTGACCTGACACCCGACTTGCACCATTTATTGTTACATTTTGCCGAGGAAGTACTGGATGTGCCCAATCAGCCTCGCCACGCTGATAATGTCCATCAGGGTTACTGAAGGCGTGATAATAGGAAGGTGATAACTGTTTGTGTTGAGAAGCGGACTTATTTGTGCTTGATGATTTAGATTTTGCGTATTCACCCCACAGGCCTGGGCTCTGGACTGTGGACCCATGGCAGTCTTCACGGTATGTACTCACATCTGAGGCGAATTCAGTTCCATCGAATGTTTCCGTCGCCGTGTGGTCATTGAGTTCATGCGAACCAACTCGAAGGCTGGTAGGTGATATTTGAGAAGTAGTGCTACTGGTCCCAAAGTATCGATAGTGTGGAGCATGAGTAGTATCCTTTGAGAGGTTGCGTGAGGCGATGCTGGCTGTCGCGGCAGCTAGGAATCGAGTTCGACTGCGATTACGCAAGCCCACCTGTGCACGATAGGCCAGGATTGACTGCCAGTCCACATCCTTCGCTTCTCGACCTTCAAAAAGGAAGAAACAAAAAATGGGGTGAATATTCACTGAAGCCCAGGACATAACGCCTTGTGCTAACGATGTCGATTGGATAAAAGTTAGTTAAGGAAAAATGAATATCCATTGAGCATTTTTTCAGACGTAGTTGATAATGCAATGACAAAGAAACCAAACTCACCTAAGTGTATTCATCAATTTTCATTTTTCAGAGTTAAAGCAAAGCAAGCCTTATATTTTTGAAGAGTTTGAAATTTTTTACATGTTATCTGTGATGCAAAGTATCATTCTATGGTAGGAAGTGAACCGTTTATACTTATACCCTTCACCCACAGGTCTACAGGACTACAGAAACTTCAGTAGCGCCGTGGGTCTGCCAGACTCGTCATGGACTACCCGGCGCATCAACGAATGACGGATAGTCGAACCACCCTAGCGAACAAAAGATGAAAAAACAAATGATCTCG